CCTCCTGCCCGCGGTGCTCCCACGCGGCTCGCGGCTCGCTGGTCTGCGCGGAGGTGCGCTGCCCAGCGGCGCCGCTGTGTCCCGCGTGCCCGCCGTGCCCAGGCTGCCGCGGCGACGCGGCGGCCGCCTGTCCGCGCTGCCCCAGCGGGGGGCCCGCGCACGGCAGCAGCGCCGCCGACTGGGCAGCCGCCGCGGCAGGTGCGGCCGCAGGGGCTTTCCTCGCGGCGCTCGCGGTGGGCGGGCTGGAGATCGCGCGGGCTGTCGCTGAGCTGTGCTGTCGCCGTGACCGCCATGGCAGCGGCGATGCCTCCGCCGGCGCTGAGACCCTGGCCGTGGCTACCAGGGCGAGGATCTGCACTATCATTGACGCGTCGTCTTGGTGCCGGCCTCGTCGGCGACGCGAGTGGGCGCCGACGAGGTCGTCGGAACATCGCCCGACGGCGACCCCGAGCGCATCGATCTCTCGGGCGGCTCGCGGGACATCGAGGCCTGGCGCTGGTCGGATGCGCGTCGGCCCCCTCCGCCAGGCGTCCCGCGCAACTGCGTCTACCGCTTCGCCGCGACCCCGACGCCGCCGCCCTCGCCGCCCTCGTGACAGCGGCACGCACGCTCTGCAACGACGAGTACCTGGCCCGCGAGCGGGCGGCGGAGCAATCCGCGGCGCTGCCCCCCGCGGGCAGCCTGGTCGAGGCCGCGTGGCTGCACCGCCCGCCGTTGGGTCTATGGCCCTCGGGGCTCCTGCAGCCCCCCTGGCCGCGGGCGGGCCCGCCCTGCCGCTGGCCGCTGGCCTGCCCGTGGGGCTTCGGGCGCCTGCGGCAGCGGCCCCTGCCGCCGCCGCCGCCGCCCCGCTGGCCTTGGCAGCGCCAGTGGTGCCCCACATCGTGATGGTGACAGTCGAGACCGCGTCAGTCGGGCCGCGCGGCGCCGCGATCACTTCAACGGCTCCGAGGTGATGGTCGGCGATGCGGGCCTTCGCACACCTGCTGGAGGAGCTGTTCTGGTCAGGCACGCGCGCTCGGATCCGGTCGTGGAGCACGTGGGACTCGGCTGCTGGCGACGCGCGCATCCTGTCGGTGATCTCGGTCAACGGCCAGCGGGCGCGCCGCCCGTGGCGGGGCGTTGTCTCGACCCTGGCTGAGGTGACCTTCCCCGACTGGGCCATCGAGGGCCCCCCGCGCCGCGCTCTGGCGCGGCCGCTGGATAGATAGGCGCGGCGGGGGCACTTTGGACCAGCATCGTTTCTTCGCCATGTGCATCGGTTGAGTAAGGGGGGCTGGGGTGTTTCAATGAATGAGTTCGGGCTGACTGCGCTGGGGACGCTCGGGCGCCGCGATTGCCTCGATCTCCCGAACGTTGCTGGGATCGAGAGCCTGATGCGAGAGGTCCAGCTCGCGGGATTACGCGCGCTCTTGGCTACCTAGATGGGCACAGTGCGTTTCATGGTCAGAGAGACGCGGGCGAGGCCATGGTCTGCCCCGCTTCATGTTGAATTGCTTGGCAAGCAGGTCGAGAGATGCCGACGTCCTCAAGCAGGTCCGCAAAGCCCGAGAAGAACGGGCCGCTGCGGGCCCAGCCTCGTGAGTCCTCTGTGCTGACCAACGGCGCCCGCCCTCCCCAGGCGCCCGCTGGCCCTCTCCCATATTTTGGGGCTAGGCCCGCCGTGGCACGCGAGCTTCGATTCATATCCAACTCTTCGTCTGGAGTGGCGGCATCTGTCTTCCTGCGTCTTTCATCGCCTCGAGCGGCACCTCGCCTCGCCAACCTTGCGTCCTGGTGGCATCCTGTTCGTGTCGCCTCAGCGCGGAACCTGGCCCCGCGGTGAGAGACTGCCCTCGGGGCTTTTTTCCCCCTGCCCGTGCCGGCCTCTCCAGGCCCCCGTTAGGGCCCCGGTCTCTCGCAAAGTCCGTGGGGGGCTAGAGGTTCGACGCCAGTCAGCTTCTCTGGTTTCGAAGGTGGCGACTGTCTTGAATGCACGGGGTTGGTCCTTTGTGGGATGGTCAGAAAGCATCTGCGGCACAGGAGTCTTCACTTGATCACATTAGACGAACAGTCGATCGGTTTCGTTTGGAAAGCCACCTGAGTACCTTATCATTGCAGGGGCCTCGAGAGAGCTCCGCATCAACCCTGGTTACTCCTCCGTGGGCAGAACTATGGCTCCCGTCAACGAAGCCAATATAAATCGTGTCGCCCTTCCTCCTGTGGGCTGGTCGCCAACGGGTCTTTGCAATTGGGGGGCGCGATTGGCTCAGCCGGTGCTAGCGAGTTTAACGCGCGTCGACGTCCTGATCCACTTGGCGCAGTTCCTTCTTCCACCCCCTTCCCATAATCTACAACGACCCGCACCTTCAGTCTCATCCCAAACTGTATGCTTGTTTTCAACATCGTCGCTTTTCTTTTCAAACTTGGAAACGTGGAGGCGAGGATGAACCTCTCGCGTCGGCGCTTTCTTCGGCAACAAAAGAACGGAAACCTGAGGCTCATCTTGGATGGTCGCGCGGCAGGTGCGCACTTCGGAGAGCCCCCCCCACGTTGACCTAGCCACTGGTTTCGCTTTCTCGGCGTTGGAGGCGCGCGGCGCGGGATCCATCTACATCGGGGAGACTGATATATAGAGAACGCGCTTCGCGGCATTCAGCTACCTGGGGATCTGTGGTAGCATTTTGGGTGTCCTCGCATGACGGCGGGTGCATTGGGGACTGCCGCCGATCATGCTGGAGGCCCGCTGCGAACCACTGGCTGGGCCGCCCCGCTTTTCCCGGCCGCCCCCATGGGGTGGGGGCGCAGTCCATGGATCTGCCAGAGGATCGTGGAGTTCCGTGCCCGCGTCAATGCTTTGGCCTCCCCTCAGCTCGCTTTCGACGATGCTCACCCCCCCCGTCCGTCTGGTGCGGTCATCTACCCATGCGTTACATGCAGAGTGCCTCGACAAGTTCGTCGCACTGGGCCTGTCCGGGAGGCCGACCGAAGCTGTGGCTGAGTCCTTCGACCGCAGCCTCAGCGAGGCTTGCCTGCGCACCCACGGTGCTTCCGCGTCAGCTGGCGGGGGCGTTCTTGGTTGGACTTTCGACCCCGACCTGCCGACGGCGGGCGTCAGCCACCGCATAGGATCGCGCATGTGTGTGGCGGCCAGGCGCAGTAGACTTGTGCCTTGTTGGCCGCGGCCCTCGCCTGCAACCGGTCGTCGCTCGGCGAGCTCAGCCTGCGACGTCTCCGCCACGGGGGCGTCTCGCACGACCCATTGTTCAACGCTCGGTCCCTGCTCAGCACCAAGAATAAGAGGGCGCTGGGAGAGCGACCGCAGCCTGGCCCGCCACGAGCGCGGCGGTCGCATCAACGAGCAGCTCAGCCTCCTCGACCTCTGCGCGCTGTCCGCAGCCGAGCTGGCCGCCGCGAACATTGGCGCCACCCTCGTGAATGCCTCCCGCAGCTTCTGAAGGCGAACAATTGCCCCGCCCCCCTCGCATTTTTCTCTGGATCGGGTCGCCTCGCCGACACTTGGAGGCGGTCAGTGCGAGGCAAGCATCTTGTCTCCTTCCCTGGTCAAACTCATCCAGGGGTGGATTCGGTCTGATCTGACATCGTGGTGGCCGTTTTCCTTGGGACTCCGTGCAGCTCGTTTTCCCTGCGAGGAATCGCCCAAAAGGCCGCCGACTCTTCGGGCCTCTGAGCACCCTGAAGGCCTCCCTGGCCTTGGTACGACGTGCCAGCATCAAGTCGATCTTGGAAACGCTCTGTGTGCAGCTTCCTTGGCTGTTTTACGTGAGTGCCGCTTGCGCAGCTGCCTGGTGGTCGTCGAGAACCCAGCGGGCCCGCACATCTGGAGGCAGCCTCAGATGGTGCGGACCTGCGGGTCCCTGATGTGACTGAGTTGTTTTGTGACATGCGCGCTTTCGGCACGGCGTGGAGGAGGCCCACGAGACTTGTAGGATGTCACATCGACCTGCAGCCGCTGGGGTTTCGAATCTCAGGGGAAGGTGCATACGGTTTCTCCACGCTCCCGCATAGGACGCTCGATATGAAAGGTCGGATGACCGTTTCCAAGCAGGCTGCGGTTTATCCTTATGAGTTATGTCGTGGGTTGGTGGCTTGTTTTCGCGATGATATCTTGTCAATGGTTGTCAAAGGTTTTCTCGCATCATCTATAACGAGCTCAGGACACGTTTCGCAAACGTCTTGGGCCAGTTTACGGTTTCAAACATTTGGTTGGAACAGTTGTTCACTTGATGGCGTTTCCATCGTGGTACCTGCCCTTCTCGGGGATACGTTCGTAAAACACAGATGGATATCAAGCCTTGGCGGAAGATAAACACATCGGTCACGCATTCGAGTCTTACTGGACAGGGTTGCGTGCATATTATTTGCCATGACGTCGCCCTGCAGCCGTGCGGGGCTCAAGCTTTTACCCTCCCTCCGTGATCCCCCGTTTGCAAAGCTGGCCGAAGCATTGATCAGGAAACTGTGTTCGAAACCACTGTTGTCTTGATGGCGTTTCCCGCGTTTTACCTGCCCCTCTCGGGGATGCGCTCGTGAAGCACAGATGATTATCAAGCCCTGGCGGAAGAGAAAAGCATAGGCCATGCATCCCCCTCCTCCTTCCCCTCCTCCTCCTCTTCCTCTTCCCCTCCTCATCTTCCTCCTCCGCCTCCTCCTCCTCCTCCCCCTCTCCTCCTCCTCTTCTTCCTCCTCCCCCTCCTCCTCCTCCTCCACATCCTCCTCCTATTATTCCTCCTCCTCCTCCTCTTCCTCCTCCTTCTCCTCCTCCTCCTCCTCCTTCTCCTCCCCGTCGTCCTCCTCCTCTTCTTCTTCCTCCTCCTCCTTCTCCTCCTCCCCCTCCTCATCCTCCTCCCCGTCGTCGTCGTCCTCCTCCTCATTTCTTGTCTCCTCCTCTTCCTTGTCTTCCTTCTGTGCTTCTCCTCATCCCCCTTCTCATCCTCCTTCTCCTCCTCCTCCTCCTCCTCATCTTCCTCCTGCACCTCCTCCTTCCTCCCTCCCAATGCGAGGCGGACCTGCAGTCGGTGTTCCGCCATTTCGACAGAAACGAGGAAGCCATGGAGCGTGGCTGGCCGATGGGCCCTCCTGCAGGGGAGTGTTTTTTTTGGGGGGGGGGGGGGGGCAATTTGTTACCCGAGAACCCCCATTGATTGAGGATGGTCGGGGGCGGGGTCGGGGGGTTCGTGCCAAGGAACCATTGTTGAAGGGCGCCATGAGGGGAGCAGGTCGTTTTTTCTTCAGAACTCTGTGGCCCCCCCTTCCCCCCTGAGGGGAGTGCTGTGGAGGTTATGGGGGCTTTAGGGGTTTTTGGGAGGGGGCGGGCCCTTTCCTCCACAACCGCCCCTGGACCCTTCCCAAGAGCGAGCGATTTTGGAGCGGTGAGGAAGGCTACTGCTCCAGAGCCCACTCTTAACCTGCGTGCAGGAGGGGTTGGGGAGGGGGCCTGATGACTCTGTCTTAGAAATCCCGTGACCTCCCATGAGGAAGGGTTTCGGGAAGGTTGCCCTGGAGCCTTTATTCTTTGGAGAGCCAAAATACGTATCCCGAACCACTCCTGAGTGAGGGGCTTTGTTTGGAAAGTTAGGGCGTTTCCTAAACCCATACGCAGTTTGGTTTTGGCCCCGGATCGCCTCGCTAGACCCCGCTGCAGGGAGGTTTGGGCGGGATGTTATGTTTTTTCTTTCAGAGCCTTTCGGAATCCCCATGTGGATGTGCAGTTGGAGGGTTGTTTGCCCCAGACCCCCCTACACCTCTTTTCTGGGGGGGTCTTGGGGGTCTAAGGAGTGTTTCCCTCGAAGCACCCCTGACGACCCCTGAGAGGGCTTTAAGGAGTTCTTTTGCCCGGGACCCCCCCTGAAACCCTTCCTGCAGAGGCATTCGGGGGGAGGATAAAGAGTTTGTCTTTCAGAACCTATCCGTGAGTCGAGTTGGGTAGGAACGTGTTTGCACTAGAACACCCTCGAACCTCGCTGCAAGGGTTTGGGGGGGGGTCGTCGGGCTTCTGTTAGTTTGTTTCTGCGCCAGTCCGCGTTAAGCAGCGGCGCCGCGCAGCTGGTGACCCTCCAAGTGCGCGGTTTAACTTGGGGTCTTCGCAACACCGCGCTCCACTGGACCTCCCAGGATCTTGCGCAAGGTGCGATTGGGCGCGGCGAGCGGGCGTCGGCCATGCGCCCCTGATAATGGTCCCCAGGAGATAATAAAATTCAGGGCTCCAGGTGGATAATCGACCCATCGTCCCGGCATCTCGCATGTATTGTACGGACGTAGGGCTAGGATGTATTCCTCGGGTTCCTCGGAATTCGCATGCGCAGATGCAGGTCTCCACTTGAAGAATTACGGCCCCGGAACAATCGCCCCCCAGCACCTCGACATGTTTCGTCAGAGGCCTAGAGTTTGCCCTCTGCTGAGGGGTCCTCGAGGGAACGCGCCAAGAAGCCTCTCTTGCGAACAGTCTCGAAGCTTACGCACAGGCAACCTTGGTACCCATTGGAACCGTCCTTGTCGTGCAAGCACTTAGTACGCGCCTGGGCTGCCGCGAGAGCGCCCTCGAGGGTCTCGTGCTCGGGCTCGTCCGCGAGCGGGTCCTACGGCGACTTGTCTTTGGCCTTACCGTTGCTCTTGGCCTTTGCCTGAGCCGAAGTGTTGTCGCTCGCGTCCAGGAGGCGCTGGATCCAGTCGTTGCCTCGGCTGCGCGCTGGGCTGATCCTGATGGGCACTTGTCGGCCCTCGTCGCGGATCCGGCGCAAGGCGCGTTCGATCCACAACGTCACCCAGAGCTCCTAGGGCCAGCCGTCCACCTGGAACGTCTCGTTGTTGCTCGGAGGGCGTTCCTCGGCAGGGCCGATGGCGCCGAGCTTGCGGAGGATCCTCGCGGCGGCCTGCCTGAAGTTCGCGGGCGGTTTTTGAGAGCGCCGTGGTACTCGATGGCCACGTCGCCCCCTTGCTTAGACACCTAGGTACGAGAAGTGCGCGGGGGCCTCGCTGTGCACCTCGATGAGTATGTGCGTGGCCTTCTCGGCTCTCTCGGCCCAGCGCTTCTGCCCGTCCTGTTGCGCGGCAGGGGCTTGTCCTCGCCCCGGCCCTCTCGAGCCCAGGCCACGGCCGCCGTGGGCTCGACCGCCACCGCGCCTGCAGGGGCGCCCACGCGCTCGTCGGTCTTGCAGGGAAGGGCGCTCACCGTGCCCAGCTCGAGGGTGTCGTTTTCGTGCCCCGTGGCGAGCTCGGCGCGCTTGGGCCCCTTGGCACCCTCGCCAGTCCAGCTCCTGGGGCCGCGGGGGCTTCCAGTCATGTTCGACCGCAACCCTCCAGGCACTGGGGCATCACAGGCGCATCCGTTTCCGCCTGCTTCCGCCACCTGCCCCAGAGATACCGCCAGCTTCCGCGCTCGTTTTTTCCAGCTTTCGCCGCGCCCGTCTGCTTCCACCAGTTTCCTCTCGCCTTCGGGTTTCCTCCTCCTCCCCCCTCCTCCTCTTCCTCCTCCTCCTCCTCCTCCTCTTCCTCCTCCTCCTCATTCTCATCGTCATCTTCATCCTCCTCCTCCTCCTCCTCCTCCTCCTCCCCCATCCTCTTCCTCCTCCTCCTCCTCCTCCTTCCGCCCGTGGGCCGCCGAGCCTTGCTGCTGTCGATATGGAAGATCGCCGCGATGTCAACCTCGAGCATTGGGAGCCGGAAAGCGCCCTTGTATGCTGCGAGGCGCCAGGCGTTTTGAAACCCGCCGCGCCTGCCTTCGTGCAGGCCTCCTCGGTGACGCGGACCACCTTGCCCTAGCAGGGGGTCCTCGCATTGCTCGAGGCTGGCCTTCTGCTTGGCCTTGGTTTGCTTCTTCGCGTTCTTGCCCGCTTGCTCGTGGGCCTTAAACTTCTCGGAGAAGCTGCTCTTTGCCTTGGCGGGCCTGCCCGGGAGCTTCGCCTTGGCGACGCCTCGGCTCTGGTCCTCGAGCGCGGCTTCGCCACCAGCCGAAGCCTTCTTGCTCTGCCACCTGCGGCGCAGCTTGCCGAGGAACTGGCCCGAGAATTTACACGCCCACCTGCTCCTGCGCTCGGTTGTCCGAGCGATCCTGATTTGGCCCTTGATCCGCTCCTCGGGCGGCCTGAGCATGTCCTTCTGCTCCTCTGTGAGCTCGAGGTCCAGGTCTCGGAGCCCCAAGAAGCAGGGGCTCTCATCCTGCTCGTGATTTTTCAGCAAGTCCTCGAGGCGGAAGCAGTCGCCGTCCAGGGCGCCCCAGCACGGGCGGCGCGTTCTCGGGCCAGCCCTGGATGTCTTCCATCCGCCCCCTGGCCAGCCCCGGCTCGATGCCGCGGCTGGGCTCCTACGGGGTAGCTCCAGGGTTCCAGGCCCGTGACGACCTTGAATCCGGACCGCGAGCATCTGGTTCGCTTGCAGGCCTTGGAGCGGCGCCGCCTGCCTGTGCTTCTCGCGGAAGCGGAGGTGGGCTTCGGAGACGCAGTAGAGACTTTCGTAGATCCCCCAGTTGCTCGGACATGTGTAGTTCTTCTCGGGCTCGGCCTTGACTTTCGAGGCCACTCCTGCTCGACAGCCCTGTGGATATCCTCTTTGACCTCGCGGTTCGCGGCCTTGAGCTGGCCTTGCTGGTGGGCGCTTGGCTCTTGCAAGAAGTTCGTGGCGTCTGAAGCCCCGGACGCGTAGACAACATTCTGAGCAATGCTCGGAGCGTGACGGCCTCTGTCCACTGGCTCGACAAACAGCTTGCGAACGCGGGGCGCTGGCCGTGCCGATGGCCAAGGAAGCGGCGACGAACTCGCCCGACCAGGTCCTCGGTTGCCCCGCGAGTCCACGGATTCGAAGACTCTCGCACGCTCTGCGTCCGAAAAACTCGAGCAGGGCGTTGCGCCAGCCCTTGAGCAACGCGCCGTCGGGCTCGTCTGCTTGGAAGGTCTCCGTCCTGCCGCCGGCCTGCTCTTAGGGTGACGTCGCGCTACCAAGTGCCATCCTCGAGGCTCCTGTCGCTCACTCGGCAGTAACGCGCGGATGGCGCCAGGAACGCGCTGCGTTTCTTGGCAGAGGTGGGTTGCCTGCTCTGTTCGAACCAGCCCTCGACGGAGGAAATGCTGATCAGGGTCAATATGTACTTGTCCCCTGCGCTCGAGTAGGCTTGGTCCTCTTGCTGCGTTTGCTCGGGGTGGTCGGCGTAGAACCTGGCCCTCTCGGCCCCGACTGCCTTCTCATCCCCGTCTCGCTGCGTCTCGCTGAACTTGCAGCGGATATTCTACACGCAGGCCTTGGCGCCTGCGGCCAGGATCTCGCCCTCGTGAATGTGCACTTTCTCCTTGCCCTGGAGCTTGGGCCACAGCGCGGTTGCGCCGACGTCGACCAGGCTCGCGATGGCTCCCCACTCGGAGAAGGCCTCGGTGCCCCCGACGAAGAGGCTGAGCTCCTCGGGGTCGGGGCTGTCCCTCGCGACGAGATGTTGGAACCAGTCGACGGTGGCCCGGGTGAGCAGGGCCTTCTTCGCGCAGGGCGTCTTGTTCCTCTGCTCGGAGAGGCGCTGGCCCGTGTGTCCAGACGCGCGCAGCCTGGGCAGGACGAGCTCGTCGATCCACTCGGTGTCCTTGCGAATATGTTGGTGGAGCGTCCAGGTCGCCAGGCGTTGGGTAATATTCTTGGATATCTTGGCGTTGTAGCTCTTATGGTCGCGGCCCCTCAGGTGGAGCTGCTTGTTCTGCTCGAACTCTAGCTCATATCGCAACAGCGTCGGGATCGCTTTCCTCATGACCTCGTGGCCGCGCTCGCGCTCCCGCTTGAACCAACAGTCGAGGCGTCGCGTGGCGCCTTCGGGCGAGTGCTTGGCTGTGGCCAGACCGAGCAAGTCGTGGGCCAGCCTCGCGCCCTCGCTCTTGCTCCTGTGCCGGTAGGCACCGACGTTGTCGCAGGCTCGGAGGCCGTTCCTGCCGAGCCTCGCCGTCGCGACCTTCTTCTTCTCGAGAGCCGCCCGCTTCTGGCGCCAGCTCGTGGCCGCTGGGGGGCCCAGTGCCACTTCTCCTGCAACTTGGCCTTGACCCTCTTGCGGGAAGCGGGAACATTTCTCGAC